ACACTGCTGGGATTAATGAAGTTGACATGTTTTGAACAACTGTATCATTTGATTCATGCCTAGTTGATGCTAGGCCAGTAGACAGATTAATGTGTCAGTCTTTGGCTTTTTCTGAGGAGTTGTAACCAATGTGGAGATAGTTGAACATGTCTTGATGCAAGATTTTGGGAATCAAAATTTGTTTTCCCTTAAAAGTGATGTTTCTTTATACACCTAAAAGGACCATAGTTGCTCGGGAATCTGCTTAATATGATCAGGCCTCCCAGTAATGATGGTACATTTCAGCTGATGTAGCTGGTCATTGTCAGATGTGGCACATTAAATTTGTTCCACACGGTTTGATTGTTTTATCTATAATTCATGGTGCCACAGCAGACCTGTTTGCTACCTCCTGCATCGTTATGATGTGAAGACCTGTATGATGAGCTCCTTGGCAAATCAATAATGACTGATTTATTTGTTTTAACGTCATAGAAGGTTTTTGGTATACATCCAGAAGAGCCATATTGACAACTAAGACTAACAATGTCAATACATGGAATCTGAGATCCATGATGGGTAGTGAGTTTGTCATGTGTGAACTTCAGCATTCTCTGCCGTTTGCCTGTATAGATTTCAGTGTGAACATGTAACAGGATAATGTTAGCACTCACACCTGTGTCATATCTGTGATAAATTATCTTGATTGTAGTAAATGCATTAGCTTCTAAAGCTAATATGGTGTGTCTGGTTGATTACATATACTTTTTGGTTAGGATCTTAAGGCTGCATTGTTAGAGATATTTCCTGAACTTAATCCCTACATTTGCACTTCAAGGGTATAACCTTTGTAACATCACTTGTAGTGGACGTTAAATGAACACTATATATATCTGGCTATTGAGCTTTATTCTGCATCTTGGGCTGTTCCTGTTTATTAGATTATCTGCACATCTTTGCCTAGCACTCCTTATTGACATGCAGCTTGCATGTATCATGAAATATTGAACACTGCTTCAGTAAATGGGTGAAACCACACCTTGAGCATGACTTGGGTGGTTTATCACTTTAGTTTAGTATTGCTATTATTGTTCCAAAATCAAGACGCTGAAAGTGCTGCTTTCCTGGAACACTCACTTCAGATTTTTGTCCATCTTCTAATAGTATGTCATTTAGTGTTGTGTAAGATTGTTTTTTGTTTTGGAATGGCTTGTTTGGTGGAGAAGCTCTTGCCAATTCCATGAATCTTTAAGCCAGTTTTCTTCTCTGAAGACAGATTCTGCACCTTTGTGCCAATATATGCAAAGAGAAATGATCAATTGTTTCACTCAGTTACTGATTGTAGGACATAAACTTAAGCTTAGGATATAAACATAAACGTCACTTTTCCCAATCCATCACCATTCAGATGATCTGCCTTCCTGTCTTTGCAATCAAAATGGATAACCTCACATTTATTCATATTATGCTTCATCTGCCATGCAGTTGTCTGATCACCCAACTTGTCCAAATCAGACTGAAATACCTCTGCATCCTGCTCGCAGTTCACCATCCAACCCAGCTTTGTCATCTGACAACTTGGAGGTATTACGTTTACTTCCCTTGACTAAATCATTATTATACATTGTGAATAGCTGGGATTGAAACACTAATCCCTGCATTATTCCACCAGTCACTGCATACCACTTGGAAAAAAAAGCCTTTTTGTTTCCTGTCTGCCAACAGTCAGTACACTATTCCTAATCCCATGAGTTTTAATTTTATATGCCAACCTCTTTTGTGGGACCTCATTGAAAGCCATCTGAGCCTTTCAGAAAACCACAATCACTGGCTTATCAAATCTACTAGTTACATCCTTGAAAAATTCCAGTTGGTTTATGAAACATGACTTCCCTTTCATTACATCTGTGCTGACTGTCTAATGTTATCACTGTTTCCCAACTGTTCTGTTATTAAATCTTTTATGATGGGCGCTAGCATTTTCCATACTGCTGATATTAGTCTAACCAGTCTGTAATTCCATCATTTCTCTCTACCCACTTTGTAAAATAGTGAGATTACATTAGACACCCTTCAATCTAAAGAAACTGCTCCAGAGCCTTTAGAATCTTGAAAGATGACCACCAATGTATCCATTACTTCTAGGGTCATGGTCCTTAATAACGCTGGGATGTAGATTATTGGGCTCTGTAATTATCAGCCTTTAATCTCATCAATTTCCCCAACACCATTTCCTTCAGTTCCTCCCTCTCACTAGGCACTGTGTTCCCTGTGTTGCAAATTAGGCAAAGGAATCTGCATAGCTATTGTTTCAAGTAATAGGTCTTTCTCCTGCTTCAGTGACACCATAACTTCACAGAAATAAAGATACATATCACAGAAATACACTCAAATAATTGTACAATTGATAAATACAGAAATAACCCAAATTTGAAAACACTCAGATCCAATTAAGAAAAGGTTTGTTAGCAATAAATAACTCTCCATGAAATTATGAATCTATTGACTATTTCATGATTTTAAAACACTCCAATAGAGGAATTTCACTAGGCAAAGTATCCATGATGGGAGAAGCATTTTGTCATCTGCTCACGTACACAGCAGATAGCACCATGATGAGCCCAGTAAAATATTTCAGTTAATGTTCATTTAAATGTACACATACTGTAAATTATGGGTGCAACAGATTTGCTGAAGCAACATTGAAAACCTTGATTTCCAAAGCTCCACAAAACTCACATTGTTGGCAATGCCCAAAGAGAAAAGAAACATTCTATAATCCCTACAGTGCAGAAGCAAGCCACTCAGTCCATCAAGTCCATGCTGACCCTCTGAAGAATTGCCCTTTGAATCACCATATCCCTGTAACCATGCATTTGCATGGCCAATCCACCGAACCTACACATCTTTAGATTGTGGGCAGAAACTGGAGCACCTGGAGGAAACCCACACACCCACAGTTTCATTTGTTTCCATAGGAGGAAGGAACATTGGCTTTGAAATGCACAATATCTCTATATTTCAACATTAGTATAGGGAGAGCTTAATTATTTGATTATTTATTTTCAGAAAATGTCTGCTAGAATATTCAGAGATCAATCCTGTAGAAGCTGAGAAATATTCAAAATCTTGGGACAGGCTTTTGTCAAGGAAGCAGTTGGGAGTTGAGGACCAAGGCAGGTAGTCCAAATGGGGCTATGATACAGATGAGTCATAATCTGATAGGATGGCAGAAGTTGCTGAAAAAACTGAATGATTGTATTCTGTTCTTTGGCTCCCAGAAACATCACAGAGACAGCATTGATTAATGTGCATCATCTTGTTGCTTCCAGACCTGATGGGTGAACATACTCCTAAACATCCTCCCACATGTTAACCCTTGTAATCTTGAGATCATTCAAAATTCTGTTGCTGTGCCCTAACTTGTACCACATGGTAATCCCCCAACACCTCGGTGCTCACGATCCTGTACTGCATCTCATTTAAATGTCTTGATTGCAAAGTTCTCATCCCTGTTTTCAAATCCCCCATGATCTTGCCTTTCTTTTTATCTCTATAGTCTTCTCCAGTCCCTCAACCTCAGAAATATCAACACTTGGCAAATTCTATGCTCTTGAACAACACCAATTTTAATCTTTCTAACACTGGCACCATACTGCTTGCTAGCTGGGTCCCAACATCCCATATTCCTTCCACAAACTTCTCCGCCTCCCTATCTGGTTGGTTCCCTAAGGGAGCACTTCTAAAACCTCCCTCCTTAATCAAGCTCTTCATTATCTGCCCTAGTATTTCCTGTGTGGCTTGATGTCATATTTTGTTTTCTAATGCCTCTGCAAAAGGCTTTGAGACTTTATTGCAATAAAGATGCTGTACAAATCTGAGCTTTAATTGTTGTGTTAAGTCGCCACTGACCGAAACCATAATCTTTAAAATATCCCATATTAGTCTGGATTTTGCAGTGAGAGTCATTTACAGTCCAGGAGGAGGTGATTCACCCCATGGAGTCTACACTGGCTCCCAAATGATCAATCTAGTCAGTTCCACTCCACGACTTGGTCCCTGTAACCCTGCAAGTTTAATTCTTTCCTTTACATGGACATCTAGTTTCTTTTTGGTGTAACTGATTGTTTCCACATTCACCAACCACATGGGCAGTGAGTTAAAGACCCTTCCCCCTGCAAGCTTTGGCTTAAATTTGTGTCTGCTAATTCTTGAATAATCAGCTAATAGGATGAGTTTTTCCTTGTCCACTGTTGGTAAGCCTTCAATAATCTTGTACATCTAAAGAGGTTTCTTCTAAAAAAATGTCATCTTTGTGCAGCTACACACATAAGGCTAGTCTGCCCACCTACCAGAGATCTTCCTTCCTATTATTAGCCTATTCATATCTTGGTGAATTGTCACGTAATGCACACTATTGAATTGTACCATTTTCACTCCGCTCCTGTTAATGTGATATATATATATATTTTCTTATGTTTACCTGATTCCTCTCCCAGTTTCCCCATGTAGCTTTTTGATATCTTTACCACTCTAAATACTACTTCTCTATTGCGCCAGTGATATAATTTCAAAATTTCATTCAGCTAAAGGATTTTTTAAAGCAATTTTTATTGATCCTCTAATCTCAAATTGAGACTTTAGCTGTCCCTGCCTTATTACTTTCAATCCACCCTCACTGTTCAATTTAGCCCTTTTGGAATAGCACTGGTGGTATTTTAATATATGAGAAAAGCATATCTTGTATGCAGTTGTTCTGTCCATTTGAAAACTTAAACTGAGGAATTTTTTTTATACTTAATAGCTTCTGATCAGTTTGCAAATATCAGTCTCTTAGCTGTGTTGATATAACAGTAGTTTACTAGTTTAAATCATTGGTTTAAACACACACACTATATTTTTGTGTGTATATTGTATGTGTGAGCTGAGCCAGATATGTTTGGAGTTATTGCAATTTCTTGTGAATCATTTGCAAATGCTTTGTTCCAAGGTATTTAATGTGTGAATACTTTCTCTTACAGCTCCAATGACAGATAAACCACCCAAGTTCCTTTATCCTTTAGAAAACAGGTTAAACCCTGTGGAGGCACAGCTTGGTAAGTCAAAATGTTTTCCTGCTTTGGATAAAGTAACCTGAGATTTTTGAGAGGCTCAGCAATTATACAATGAATTGCTGCAAGTCCCTTAATGGGAAAGTTTCTTTGTGATAGCCTGCATCAATTTGTCTCACGTATGTAGGTCACAGGAGCCATTAATGATGATCAGACAAAAGACTGCTTAAGTTTGAGCAGATTTCTGCAGCAACAGCCAGAATCAAAAATACATTCTATGATGATATTGAGTTATTCCACAGTTTTCCAGAATTACTCTCAGAATATATACTTGCACTTTTATAAGAGTGATATAAGATTAATCAGTGGCCTTACAATGCAGAATACGGACCCCCTTAGTGACAATGTTACAAGATAACGGCTCATTAATTCTGTAGCCATTTCATGTCTTTTTATTGTAATTCATGTCAGCCAGCTTTATCTTATTTGTCTGTTATTTATTAAATATGATGTAACACTGGCATTAAAATGGTTAAGATTGCTTGTTAGAGATATGAAGTGAATCCTTGTCCCTGTATTAAATGTAAAGTTCACAGGATAGCATTTGAACTAGGTTTTCATTTGCTAAAGGCAATTACGTTACCAGGACTCCTCTCTAAAACTTGAATTGGTGGAGTCATGATTGGAATTAAATTCCTTTTCTTTACTGTGTTCTATATATTTCTGCCTTTTTACAGTTTCTAAAACATAGTGCTGATGGCTTTACACCAGTCATGTTACTGTTGTGTGTTACTGAACGTGGGGTGTAATATGTGAATTACTGTTTATAATTAATGACAATGCTTCTTTAATTAGTCAGTGTTTGCAAGAAATTCAGCTCCCTGATTTTTCTGGTTTCATTAACTTACTTATAGCAGTGTATAAAGGACCCTAATTCTAATTTGTTGCAACCTTTTTTTAAGATCTTTCTGGCCATACTTGCTTTTTAAGTGTAGCTGTGTGATTTCTCATGAATTAATATGAAGTGCTTTGTGATTACCTTGAGATAAAATGAAGTTTAGAGTTGCTAACCTGGGTTAAAGTTGTAGGAATTTTAATTCCAAACTGTGGTAAATCCAGGGTAAAAAATAGTGTGTTTTAAGGGGAGACTGTGTTGAACCAGGGATAAAGTGTTATTATGTATCATTGCCAAGACTGCAGCTCACCAGGTCTAGTTGTTATCATACTTCAATTTCAGACTGTGGTGAACACTGGTTAGATGACGTTATTTACTTATTAAACCATAAATATGTCCTAGTTAAGAAGAGTTGCCATAGTTCATTTTACTGCAGTGATGCAAATAGTATTAGGCACCATGTTGAATTAATGAACACATGAGTGACTTGGATTTTCAATGTTTTATGTATTACATTTACCAAATGGCAAAGTTTAATGGGTTACTAGTATAAAAACTGGCATATTATTAAAAGCTGATTTTATTTTGCCTGTGTCAATTTGAAAAATGATTTACGTTTGAATGAGTTTTACTTTCAGTTTGTTCTATATTGCCAGACATTTGTCCCTTTTCTGGGCAACAGTATAATCTCAGCAGGAATGGCAGTAAGCACTTGGCCAACATTTAATGTTTTACACTCTGTTGCACAGTGACAGATAGCGCCACAAATGCATTGCTAACTCACACCAATCCACAATGTTGTCAGATTCACTGAGAAGGAACAATAGCTCGCAGCATTACTAAGCTGAAGAGACTATTCATTTTCATGTCAGTGCACAAATCCTAAATACTTGTTTTATTATGTGTTTCTCAAAATGGGCCAGTGGCAGCTGCATTACTGAAACTGTATTTTTGTTTTATAATAGTTATAGAGCAAAATCTTTGTTAGCTTGAAGTACCCACAGCAAAATGCATCCTGCATTGGCAATTATGATAAAATGAAGCCTTAGGTTTCTTATCAATCTCAATTACAGAAATATGCATTGAAAGGAGACGAGCAGTTGAGCTGTTATCCCAGCAGTTCTCAGTAGCACATTGTTAATGTCTTTGTATTAGCTTTTGTTTGGCTTGATAAATATTTATGCTGAGAAAGTACAAATGAATGTCACAGTTGGCATAAAACCACATTAATTATTAACACAAAATGCACTTTTGTGATAGTACCTTGTGGCAAGGAACAAAACAGAAAAGAAAAAAGAAAAACACATAAAAGGGAAGATCAAAAGCATATTCCCTGTTTAGTAGGTGTTCTTTAATAATAGAAATTAAATAAATATGAATCCTGGATGATAGCATTATAGATGCTGGCACTGACTTTCATCGATAGGATTATTCTCTCTCAGGCAACAGTTCATACGCCTAGTTAAAGATGTTTGCTAACAGCACATTAAATTATTGCTTTGTTTACATTGATTTTTTTCCGTGATTCCATGATGGTGATTTTAACTTCCAAACAGTCACCCAGTGGAATACCTGAGCCATCTACTTGATCCCTGTTGTGTGAGGCTCAGTCTATTTCAGGGCCAGACCATGTAGCATACTTAGGTGTATTACAAGCCCTGGCTGAACATTATGTTGCAGCTCACCATGTCAGTGCCAGCGCAATGAGAAGGTGGCAGAAAGTTCATCAAGAGAGCCACAATTCTATGCCAAAGTGCCAGTCATAATGTGTAGTCTTAATGGGAAGCAATATATTAACTCGCAAAGGGCACAATGCATGCATTCTGAAAGCAAGAGACCTAGAAATTAATGGAAATGTTAACTGGAGAATTAATTTTTCGACGGGAAAGCAGGGGTGTGGGGTGAGGGTTAGAATTCACATGTTTCTAAGATTTATTGAAAGAAATGCAGAACCAAATTAAAAGAATTATCACTACAACTTTCACTGGTCTTCTCAAAACTTCACATATTAGGCTAAAATTTCTACATACTGCATTTCGCAAGTATTACCACTGAAGCTGTGGCTGATTGAAGAGAGAGGAAAGGTCAATAAATCCTGAATAGGAATAATTGTTTGAGTTTGCCACTCTGATAGAGAACTTCACACAGTAGGGGAACATATTAGAAATTCGAATTGTACCTTGAACATGTTGAATTATTCATATGAACATTCAGAAAGACCATTTTCCATATACTTCCAAATTTCCTGCTAGGCACTGTCCACAGGAAGGCCTCTCAAGGTGAAACCATAATGTTGAAACTTACCCTGTCATGTAAAATTCTTTTTTTTTCAGTTCAGTTTTGATGTTAGGATGTTCTAAACTGCTCTCTTGAAGGTTTATGTTAGAATATACTTATACTGTCTATAAGCCATGTGGTGCTTTATAATGGTGAAATTGAATGTCTTTTGTTTAATTGCATCAATGGTTTTGGACAAAAGTTTAGTAAATATTTAGTTCTTAAAAGCAAATTTGCATCTAATTCTGATTTTATGGCCATTTTATTATAACTCATCCACATGTCCTAATAAGAAATTTTTACATGCTGCATATCTTTAAGGGATTGAACTGACACAAAACATATCAATTTGCATGGTGAAGTCCTGTAGGCAATGGTCATCTGAAATAGGGCCAATGCCACAAAAGCCCAAGTCCAATGCTGCCTAGTCTGGGTCATGTTACAACAGTTGTGGCAGAAGCCTTATGCTAGTATAAGACAAGTGACAAGCCTGTTTCATAGCTCTGATCTGAAATTAGTCAAAGGTAAGCAGAGCTTACCGATTGCAAGCTTTCACTGGTTTTCAAAGTCCCTTTAAGAGTCTGCTGTTGTATCCTATTTACCTTAATATGGAGCCAGGAGAAGCAGGATTGTTGCGCTGGTTTGCCAGCAATTTTGCAAATTTTTGCTCCATCCTATTCACTTCTGTAACCCTACCTCAGGAATTAGAGTCATAGAGATGTGCAGCAGGGAAAGTAATTTTGGGTCCAATTGAGAGCTGCATTAGAACTGCCCACAGATCAGTGAGATCCACAGTGAATATCTGACCACCTTTTCAGAAGAGTATTGGAGTCAAGGCACCTTGTCTCAAGGCTGAAATTCATTTCTTCTCCATAAAACCATTTGCAACCAACAGATATCTTTGGAGTGCTTAAAATCAAAAAGGATCTGTCATTTCTAATGGAAACCAGATTAGAGGCAGGATATGATAGCACGAAGGTAATGGATGATCCTATGCCTGGATGCCAGTTTTGTATTGTTATTATCACTCAAAATTGAGATATTGTCAAGTACTCTTTTGTCAAATACTTAGCAATATTCAACTTGAGTTTATTCTGTTCTACAAAAGCTGAAAGACTTTTGTCTTCAATTTATTTTGTTTTTAAATTATAAAATCATAGCTCTATAATTACAATTTATGAATCAAACAAAGTAGTATAAGTCTATATCCAGGGTCTTGTTGAATGCAGCTTTGCCAAACTGTGCTAATACATGCTGTTTTCTCTTCAATTGTCACTCTTGCTGTTCCTAGTCAAGTAGACAAGCACATTTCTAGAGAATAAGATGGGCAAATCAATTTCTTAGCATCCCACTCATTAAATGTTTTTGCTGTCATATTGCAAAAATGTAACAGAAAAGTATGTCCAATTACAGTTGTACCCCTTGTGCTACAGGTGTGATATTCCTCTTAATTGGACCCTAACTCTACAGAAAAGGAAATCAATCTTGACAAAGGTCAAGTGTGTGATTTAGCAAATAGCCATGTTGAGTAAACAGATGTTAAAGTCATTGTCATTCTATCTAGAATCAATAGATATTTTCTATGTTTTGCCAAGTTTTATTGACATCTGCAGATACCTTCAATTATTCTAGAGACAACAGCCACATTTTGAGTCTCCAATTGGTACATGGTGGTGCATTATTAACATATTACATGTGTTTTATGTTATGTATAATTACATAAAAAACATTTAGACAGTAATATTGAAATGCAGGTTTATTAATAACAAATATAAAGAAAAAATAACTGATTTCTAACATTTTTGTTAATCTGTAAAGCACCAACCAATGTTTTGATTACTGGGCATTGTTCATTCTCTGAAAGTGTCTGTAC